CTGTAAGTCTTCTTCTTCTTATCTTTGATCCTTCAAATTAGACTTCAACACTTGGGGGCTGTTTACCAAATACTTACCCGGTAAGTGCTTACAGGTAAAAGTTAACACTATTATTCACTCACTGAATAAGATTTTAGTCCACTAAAACGGTATCGTATGCAACAATTTACCCGGTAAGCGCTTACCGTGGTAAGAGTTGTTGCCCTCACTTACCGGGTAAGACTCTTGGTCCTTGTCTCACTCTTACTGGAAAAATCTTAATCATTACCATATTCATCCGATAAGGTAATGTGACTTGGTGTTCACTGATCCGAGTAAGCGTTTGATAAACGACCACTTAGTCAAATTCTACTCAACAAAGTTTGAACCTTTATAAATGTAATTTAATGTAACACTCCATTCTACATTTGTATGAAATTCACATATTCCATATAACATGAAATATAAATATTAACATTGGTCCCAAATATATGCATTGCTACAAGCTGAAGAGACTTTGGGTTCATTTGAAGATCATCCTTCTGAAGCACTACTAGCTGAAGTCTCTCTTCTCTTCTTCTCTTAAGTTAAGTTTAACATTTAATTTTCTTGTATTAGGGTTGTAATTGTAATTTGCTGCCCACAATCTCACCATTGTGATGACAAACTTTAGTTCTATTTGAATGAAAGTTACATTTCAATTTCATTGTAACAACCCTTACATTCCAAATACATAAAATTCACATCATCATACTCATAATACTAAAATAGTATCATTACAAAACATAGAATATCAAAATGTATCTTTAATACATAAACGAGTAAACTATTATCATCATTCAGACTTTTCCCTTGCCTTTATCTTTYAACATACGCTGATCTGCAAAACAGGTTAGTCCAACATCTGAGCGTTAGATCAAAAGGTCTAGTGAGTGTATAATCTCATACAACAATATATATTCCAAACAATCAGTTTAGAATCAAACCTGTTCCGAAACATATCATATTTATATTTCTCGCGGTTACACCGCCATTACATTCTCTTATCTCTTTCTCACTTGCGGTTACACCGCCATTACATCACTCTCGCGGTTACACCGCCATCTCACTCGCAGTTACACTGCCATTATATC